ATCTTTGATGGCTTGGGCTATCCTCTGCTGTGGTCAATTTTTTTGGTTTTATCTCTTTTTTTTCTTTTTCAATTTAATTTAATTTAATTTTAAATTTTTTTTTTCCCACTATTGTTCTTGTATACAAGCTTCAAAATAGATATAGAACAAAATCAGATTATTCAACTACTTCAATTTCCAGATTGCCAGAAAGTATTAAATCATGACCCGATTTCAAACAACCTCATATATGCTCTTCCCGATATGGTGTTAGGTCTAAATCTACCTTGTATAACTCTTATTTTGTTCTTAATCTTTGCATGCTTTATTCTTTATTGTAGCCAGCTTTTATTAGGTGAAGTTCTTTTCTTAAGAAGGGTTTATTCCTGACAAAATAGTCACAGAATTTATGCGCTAACACTTGATTAGAAAAATCACACAGCTCTATGATTTTTTTTCTTATAAAAAATTTAATTTAAATAATTGTTCAAAATATAGGGATTGCTAAATTTTCTGAACCGATTGTATTTGAACAAATTTAATTCTAATAAAAAAGGTTTGGTAGAGGATTTGATAAAGCAGGGTATAAGAAAATTAGTACCAAAAATAAGAGAAGTCAAGAAAAACGTACAAATAAATTATAAAGTAAACGATATACCTACTTGATTAAAAAGTATTTATAGATCAAGAGAAAAATGGGGGCAAGAATTTGATATGAATATTTTTTTTCTTCTTTCTTCTTTTTTTTTTTTTGTTTTTTGTTGTTGTGTTTTTTGGGTTGTCATTGTGTGAAGAAACAAAAATGGACAAAGCTCATACATGTTTTTTGTGTGCATATTAGTTCTCCATAAGATTTTTTTTTCCAAAAAAAGAGTTCTCCACAAGATAAAGAATTTTTTTAAGGATGAATTTGATTCATGAATTCAAGTAAAGATTTAGAAAGAAAAATAAATAAATATATATATAATGTAATTATATTTCATTCACATTTTATTTTTATTTTTTCCTTTTTATTTTTTAAATTTCTACCTAAATCTATAAACCAAACATAGCATTTGATCATAACATAAGGTGAGAGTCTGTTCTCCTATGCAATGCTTTTAGTTAACGAGCAAACTCTCTAAATCTGCCCTCCGTCGATTTCGAAATCAATTACCTAATGTCGGTTTCACCAGAGTAGGACGAGGGCAAATCTCGAGTGTGTGCATCGACTCCACAATGCACATACCATTTAAGTCAGAGAGTGCAGCTGTTAAGATTTGACTCCACACTCAAGTCCTGAATACAGTTCGTTCAACACTTAGAGGATCGTCCTAAAACTACTATACCAAACCCCTAAAAATTGATTAAGAAAATGTAAAACCTAAAAGTCTCAAGACTTGCACCCTAAAACCTTACCAAGTGCCAAAACTCCTTCGGTTACTCCTATGCAATGCTTTAAAGCCATTCAACAAAAAGTCAAGTAGTGTCTTCCGCAAGGGGCTCAGATCCTCTGTCCCTAATTGCTGTGCCCATCTTCTATCCCAGTGACTACAAGCTGCCACGTGTCCATTCTCTCATTCTCATCATTTCTTTTTATTTGCTGCAACTACAACTTGACAACCCCTGGGTACCCGATACATCAGGTGTGGATCCTATTCTCCATTGTTGCTTCTCTTTTAATCTATTCTATGTTCTTTTAACCTATTGGAACGTGACATTTTGGTAAGATTTTGGAGCCCTAAGTTTCATATTCTGCTCTCTCCACGATTAATTATTTGGGTGACAATATATATAATTGGTGAAAAATATATTTCAGCTCTAGACAAACTAGTACCCCTCAATTTCCATCTCAATGATGTAAGCATAAAAAATTTATGGCTTCAAGATTCAAAACCATTCCCATCAAGAAAGAAAAAGGACAAAAACTAAGCACATTTCTCTCAGTTAATTACATCTCAAATGATATGATTTTGTTTGATATGTAGCTGGATAATTAAAAATCAATGAATGAATTGGAAAAAAGTGTGTCACTTATATATACATATGTGTATCTGTGTATTAAGATTTTGAAATTGCAATTAAATTTTCTCACATTCAACGAACTTGATCGGTTTGCTTGAGAGAGGGAGATTGAGAGTTCAATTCTAAAAATCAAATAGGCATCAAATAGGCTCAAAAAAAAAAAAAAAAAAAAGGGATTGGGTTAATTGATGAATGCGATAAGGAGATGCACGAGGCAGAGAGTATGTTGAGAGTTTGGAGGAGATGATAGGCAGAACACAGCTGAGACGGAAAAGATTCACCCATCGATACGGAAAGGCTTCGTAGTGACAGAAGGTGGAGAGGGTATGGAGATTTTGGAATTGGATAGTCTCCGGTACGTAATCGAACTGGATAGTCCAGTCTGGTTTAATGGGTTTACTTTTGAGTCTCATTTCAATAATTCGAACCGTTCACATTTTAAGATTTAAGGTTTGTCATTCATGCAAAAAATCAAGTCGATCGAACAACAGAAACAATGTACTTGAATCAATTTTGTATGAATCGTTTATTTTTTCACTGTTCATTTTTTTTTTCATACAAAACTGATTCAAATACATTGTTACTATTATCCGGTCAACTTAATTTTTGTAGAGATGATGTACTCATTGAACTTTAAAATGTGAACAATTCAAATTATCAAAACGGAATTTAAAAGTGATCCGCACGACCCAACAGCACCTTTCTAATCTTTTATCAAACTAAAGAGAAGCCATACTGAGATTTCATCAATGATTCATCCCCCCTTTTCCCCCACCCCCTTTGACCCTCTCTCTCTCATTGGTTACTTTTTCTTTTTCTTTTTCTTTTTTTTCTTGCTCCTCCAATCACCACCCGCCACGTGGCAAAGGGGGGGGGTGAGGGGGTGACCCCAAAAGGGGGTCCCAAGCATTATTCCTGAGATTTTTCCCTTTCTAATTTGATTGATGAGTTTTTCATTCCGACAATGCTACGTAGCTCAAATTTTGTGGCTCAAAAGTGGCTCAAATGGCCAAAACGACGTCGTTTTGAGTACAGAACAACATAAAAATGGCCAAAACGACGTCATTTTAGCTATTTGAGCCACTTTTAAACCACAAAATTTGAGTTACGAGAGATTTTCTTTTTCATTATCAACATGTGGCAGCATGTAATTACTGGGACAGAAGATGGGTACACCAACTGGGGACAGAAGATCTTAACCGCTCAAGGAGGAATACAACTTTTTCGATCTAAAATTTTCTTTTGTAAGATTTAGAAATATTTACCCTCTAAGTTACATTTTTATCACTTTCCTCGTAACATATAACTCATGGTTATGAATTAGCTAAACAAAGAACAGAGGTTAAACAATAAATTGCATATATTGTTAAGGAAGTCAACCATTATCAAAAGCACGTCAACAATTAGTCATAATTAAAAATACAAAAACTCACATCAAATAATAATGGCATGGTTGCATTCAACAATGCTACAGATCACTAAATTTTTACTACTAACATCACCACTAATGATGTGATAAGTAAAAAAAAAAACAAAAAACAAAAACTAAGACAGAAAACACATGTGACAGTGGGTGGGACCCACTGCCACATCCCTAAGACAACCACTAATTAGTGGTCTGCATCATTTTTCTGATTGCATTTACACATAAAGCACACTTACATATTCAAACAAAATTATTGCATGTCTAATAATAAAGTCAATCCAGTTGTACCACAAAACAAAAAGCAATAATGGCACAATCAACCCAGCCAACAAAAAGATACGCTAAACCCAACAAATACTACAAAAAGAAACATTAAGGGGTTGTTTGAGATGATCTAAATAAGTATATTTTTTAAATTTTTATAAAATATGAGTTGGGTTTGAGTTGAATTTGAAATGATGTGTTAGAGAAGTGATGTGATTTAAATAAGATGATGTGATTTAAATATGATAATGATTTTTTGACTTTTTTCTAATATGTGGAACCAAGCCTAATACAAACCAAGCAATACCACCAAATAGCGAACAAATTATTCAAGTTCAGACAATAGCTTTGTTTTTTTATTTTTTGTTTTTTTATGTTTTTGTTTTGTTTTTCAAGATCAGACAATAGTTAAAACAAAATATAACAACTAAATAGTTTTTCCATAAATAAGAACACCTTGTAACCTTGGTTTCTGCATAAATAGCACAGCAATCTTCTCCAGCTTCTTGATTTTCATAGAAATTGAGTAGATCCTCCAACCTCCTATTTATTAAGAACAGCGCTCATTTTGTAGGATTTGTTGAGTACTTCAAGCTTACTAAAAATCATATTAATCGGATATCAACAACTATATGATCGAATTGCATATTTTTATACTATTTTTCAAAAGAAAAACTTATTGTTTGTTTTTTTGGTTATCAATCATATAGTTATTGGTATCCGATTAATATGATTTTTGGTAGGCTTGAAGTACTCAACAAATCCTACAAAATGAACGGTTCAGATCATAAAAATAATCCCATAATGCATCATAAAATGAAGCTCAACAGTCACTGCTGTGCGTTTGCCACAGCAGTGACCCCAATTCCCAGCTATCTTCTCCAACTTCTTGATTTTCATAGAAATTGAGTAGATCCTCCAACCTCCTATTTATTAAGAACAGCATACATAGCAAAACATTTGTGATCAAATTTTGAAAATGAATACATGCTAATTAAAAGCAACTGCATTCAATGTAATTCATGCAAAGGATCTTTCGTTGTACTCTCTTGTACCTCTATCCTGGGATGTTTCTCTTACTCTCATTTTATCGTGGTAGCGAGTGTATTTGGGATAGAGAGACATGATGTAAATATAAATAACCTTTGTGATACGTTGAAAGTTGAACATATTGGAATAGGAAGAAGAACATTAATTGATGTCACTAAGTATTCTCGAAAATAAAGTTTATTCTTAATAACAAGATGAAGTGGCATTTTGTGCAATGACAATTTTTTGTGTATCAATAGGATACCTTTTTCTTTGAAGTGTTGACAATTTGCAATTGCTAATACCCAACAACGTTTTTAATCGTTATCGTTGTCATAGTCGTCGTTATCATCATTGCCAAAGTCTTCATCATCGGCGTCGTCGTCATCATCATCACCACATCATTGTAATAGTAATCACAAGGGAAATCGTCATCACTAGGGCCGAAGTCTTCTTCATAATCTTCATCATCAAAGTCATCAAAGTCATCTTTATTGTAATCATAATAGCGATTCTCACCGTCATTGGCTATGCAGGAATTAAAGAGAAAATAATGTTTACATTTGACAATATATTTAAATTTCGAAGTAAAAATCAATTTGTTTGTAACATAATGAACCTAGCCATGCACACTACAATGTCAATATTGTCTAAACGGTAAACAATTGTTGATGGCATATGAAACATATCTTAAGAATATATATATATGTATGATATTCATTCTAAAATACACAGTTTAATGCTACGAACATTAATTATATCTAAAGGATGAAATATGATGTGTATTATATGCACCTTATTATTTATTTATTTTTAAAAGTGTTATTTTTTTTAGCAAATATTATGTAATTTTCTGATAAAGTTATAACAATTTGGGATTCAAAAAATAAATCACACATTTTGTGGTTTAAAAATGTTTCGATAAAAAAATATGTAATATTACCACAAAAATGCATAACATTACAACAAAAATGCATAATTTTATTTATGAATCACAAATTATTTAACTCAATCAAAAGATTACGCAATATTTGCTACAAAAATGCAGAATATATACATAATAAATGCAAATGGTATACACCCCCAATAAATTTCCCCTTTTTTAAGGATAGGTAGTTGTTCTTGGACACACCATGGTTGTTGACGAGGTGTGGCTAGGTTTACTACCTTATTTTACCCTTTTTTATAACCTGGTAAAAATATATTTTTAGATGTTATTTTTACTTTTTCTATTATCATATGTACTCAAATTCAAGTGGTTGTACTTCATAATTCAATTTCTAAAAATTTCAATATTTTTTGAAATTGAATTCCATGAAAACTTGCAAACATAATTGAAGTTTTACCTGCAAATTTGAGGCAGAAATTTACAGTTGAGTGACTGACTAGAATTTGAATATCATTTATGTCTGGACCAAAACACAAGATTGGTAAGTTCGACATAGGGAAATTGTTGCAAAAGGATTTCTTCTTCATTTCCTTAGTGACAATCTTTTCTACCTTCTCGCAATGTCTAATATATAGATCTTCTAGATTCACAAGGAGGTTTGCCATGAAAATTGTGAATATATATCTCAAGTTGTCACAACACTCCACTGTTAGAGATGTTAGATTTTCAAAACAATGAATTTCTTGGGAAACATTCTTCCATATATGCATCAGCTTCGGCAAATACTTCAATTCCAAAAAGTCTAATGGTGTAATTGATGTTTCTTCCTCACCAGCACCACCACTAGAACTAGCACTAGCACTAGCACACACCCCTTCTTGGAGGTCAAATATCATTTCCAGTGAGCCACACCACCAAACCTTTAGCCCTTTCATATTGTGCAGTGCAGTCTTTGCATTAAACTAGATAAAACAACAGTTAATAATTTCCCACAACACTGGACCTGCATGAATTTTACTTTGTGAAGGCATCCAACTTCAAGTTGATTGTGCCGTATCTCATTTGGCTCATTTATTCCTGTGACAATAAGTTTTCCATTGCTGCTTAAACTAAACTGCAAATGTTATCACCTCAATTGCGTTAGTGGCATATTTACTAATTACATAATAAAAACACACATTAACTTAGACCAATGTGACAATGAAAAAAAAAACACACACACTCCACTTGTGATCTCTCAACTAGCTGAGAAAATAAAAGAAAAGATTGTATTTTTTCACTATTATATTTAGATGAATAAGAAAGCAAAGCTTGTCAGAGACACCCGATCCAAACATATATGTTCTTCGAAATTTAAGACCATTGAAAGATGAAAAAACCAGACATACATGATAGATGCATTTATATTGTTAACTCAGGTCTCTCTATAAAAATACTTGCATAATTTAAGAATATCAAAATTGATTAAATCTCAACAAGTTAAGTCCATCATATAATTGGATTAGATTAAGAAATATATGATTTGTTATTGTGTGAAATACTACAATTACATCATTTTGAAGAGAACTTGTGTAGAATTTTTTTTATAATTAATAAGAATGGAGTATTTTACTTGACAAAATCTTTGACCACATCAATTGCTAAAGAGTTTACTCTCCTTGATTTGTTTACCCAACAATACAGTCATCTTCAATCATGTTGAGGTTTAACTTTAGTTTTACTTGACAGATCTTGGAATCATTTTCTTTTAAAGAATAGGCTGTTAATAGTGAATGCTATTTAAGATAACTAACTCACTTACATTTCCATCCCACAGATGGTGTTGAGCTGAGCCAAAAAAGTCCACTTTTTGAACATTGCTCTCTTGTAGCTCTGGAATGCCCTGGAATGCTGAGGGGAGTGCCTTCATGTTGGGACAATTAATCACTTCTATCTTCTTCAAGAATGATCCTTCAACTGTGTAAGCCTGGGGACATATACTCCTAAGGCTTGGCAGATGATAGAGTTCGAGACTACTTAGTTGAGGAAACATGATTATATCGGCTGCAACTTCGTCATCCACTTTTGGTTCCTCACCAATGATCGCTTCCAGCACACCGCATTCAGCTACCTTTATTTTTTGTAGTTTCACAAGAAGTCTGGCTTGAGAAGGTGAGAATATATTTCTCAAATTACCACAACCACTTATTATTAGGGATGTTAGGTTCTGAAAGCCTTGAATTCTTGGTAAATTGTCCTTCCAAACATGTGTCAACTTTGGTAGATAAAGTAGCAGCAATTGTGTTAATGAAGGGAGTAGGCTATCTGAATAGCCTTTCCTAACAATTACTCCTTCAAGGTCAAATACTACTTCCACAGATTGGCAGTACTCCACTCGCACTTGTTCCAGACTCTGCATGCCCTTGATCAAATTGGATGGAAAAAGAATATTCAATAGCTTAGGACACCTAAAAATTATCACGTCTCTTAGTTTTTCCAGAAGTTTCCCAGGCCATATCTCTATCACGTTATGCATTGATAAGATCAACAATTTCTCAATGGCAATTAATTCAACCTGCAGAAACCATTCACAGGGTTACAAATATAGTTAAACACAATATATTTTATTTAAATTAAACATCATTCATTTACGTTGTGTTTGGTTGAAGGATTTAGGAATGAATTTGGAAAGGGAAAGGAAGAAGGTGTGTGAAATTATGTGAAATGTAGGTATATTTTATTCACATTTCACTTACTTTTTTCTTTTCACTTTCTCTTTTCAAATCTCCCAACTAAGCACAACGTTAACGTTGAAAATAGTATGTAAGAGAGGGTTCAAGAAAGGAGTTGAGAAATTCGAATTCTCTGGAATATGATAAGAGGCTTAGATTCTTCAATAATCTCAACTTAGGAACACAACAACAAAGGAGATGATGGAGATAAGAGATTGGGTGAAGAAGAAGGCAAAATGGCTGAAACTATGTGAAATGTAGGTATATTTTATTCACATTTCACTTACCTTTTCTTTTCACTTTCCCTTTCCAAATCTCCCAACCAAGCACAACGTTAACGTTGAAAATAGCATAGCAGAATTTTCGATTATGTTTGTGTCGACTGTGGTTTTGAAAATGAAATTGCAAACCACTTACTCGGGATATTGAGGCCCCGTTTGAGGACTTACTTTTTTAGTCAATTAGCCAAAAAATTACTAAATTAGCCAAAAAGCCAACAACTCTTACAAAAAAGTCAAAAATTCTCTTTTCTCTCTACTTTTTGCACATCTTTTCGTAATTAGCCAAAAAATCATTCCAAACATACAAGTTTTTTTACCTACCTTTTTAGCAAAATAACCAAAAAGTTACTAAATTAACCTGTTCCCAAACGAGGCCTGAGTGAATTTCACTGTTTTTGAACTAGATGTTATTTTCTTCAAAAACTATGAAATTGTATGCATTTTTATTTTATTTTTCTAATGCAAGCTCACTATACCCGAAAATTATTGATTTTGTCATTTAAAACAAGATAAAGTTAACAAGAGAAAATAGAATATATTTTCGAGTTTTATAAAATATGAGCCTTTGGACATGTTTTGCAAAGTAAGATAGATTTTTGGCAACTTATGTAAAATTGGCTAAGTAAAGTAATTTTGAGAAAAAATAAGGTCGGCTCGTCATTACTTGATTCAAAAGGTAATCCACAATTTCCGACTAATTTTGATTTCAGCAACCTTAACCATTCGTCATTCCGATTAGAGGCATTTATTGAGAAGTCCTATTTCATAGAATTGTTTGACATGCGGTCCTACTTAAGATATTTTACTCCAATAAAAATCGTGTTTTAGTTTTTTTTTTTTCCCCTCAAAAATATCCACACATGCAAACATGTACGCCTAGCTGAAAAATTAATTATTAGGTGCTCTAGCTGTATAACATGCCAATGTCATCCACCAAATCACCAAACATAATCTTCCAATACAAAATTGTGGCCCCTATTCTTCCCACCAATTACAATTCTCATGTGGCACTAATTGGCCATGTTCCAGGAATACTAAATAACCTCCCTTAGCTCATGTCGGCACAGTTAAGGATGTTGATGTGACATTAATTTTATTTTTATTGTTTCTTAAAACTTCATTACTTTTGTTATGCGCATTCATTTTAGTGGAAATTTCATTCCCCCCAAAATTATACCTTAATGATCAATTTAACTCATGTATTTCTTATAATTTCAATTTTACACCTAAGTTATTTGATTTTGGATCAATTTTACCCTTCTTGTTAGTTGCCATTTATAATCAAACAGAAGTTTCTGATGTGACGTCAAAATTTCATTTGAAATTTTATTTTGCCCCCTAAACAATCTAAAAAATATCAATTAGACCTCCAAACTTCATAAGGGTCTAATTGATATTTTTGAGATAGTTTGGGGGTAAAATGAAATCTCAAATAAAAAGGGCAATAAGTGCTATCTAATTATAGACGTCAACTGATGACAGGGGTGAATTGATCCAAAATTAAATAGTTTAGGTGTAAAATCGATATTATAAGAAGTACAAGAGTTAAATTGATCAGCGAGATATAATTTGGGGGGCAAAATGAAATTTTCTCTTCACGTTTAATAAAATGTATATTTGTGAAATTTACATAAAGAGATATCTCAAACAAAACCAATGATAATTTTAAAGATTAATAAGAATGTATCTAAAATAACGCGGTAAAAAGATTATTTGAAGAGCTTTCACCAAGAATTATAGTATTACTGTTCTACTCATTCTAGTAAAATAGAGACTTTATAAAAATCTCTTTACCACCACTACTCAAACCTCCTTTTAGTTTTTTTAACACATTATTAATAATTAAGTATTCTACATTTTTTTAAGATAAAATATACCATTGGTTCCTCTAATTTCAGTGAAATTTCACTTTGATTTTTGTAGTTTTAATTTGAATAATTGGAACTCTACATTTTTTTATTTTGTCTCAACATTGTTTCTCCGTCATGCGTCATTAACATTTTAAACGAAAAAAAACATAGAATTCAAAACAAACTTAAATCAGAGAAGCATACCTTGTTGAAGAGAGGTTGAATGGTATTGTAATTGCTCTCTGAAGCATTGCAAAAACTATTGAGCTTTGGTATCTTACAGAGTATCAGTTGGTTCAATTGCGGCAGCTTAATTGCATTAATGGCCTTGCAGATAGCAGTAAAACTTGGCAGGCGTCCAAGAATTCATTCCCTCAGTTTAGGAACACAATTTTATGCATTGTTGCTGTTGGGATTTAGGATCCCGCCCAAGACCTTATAGAAATTATTCCATGCAGAAAAACACACCCACACTCAAGGAGACACAATATTTAACGTGGTTCGGCCTCAATGCCTACGTCCACGGGAGAGTAGCCGGTTATCACTATAACAATGGAGATATTACAGAAAGATTGCAATAGAGAAGGAGCTCACACTCTCTTCACTCACCCACTCACCCGTCTCCCTCGCTCACACCGAGGGAGACGGTCTCTCCGCCTCACATATCTTACTCTCTGTGGCTTGCTCTGCTCACTCTCACTCACAAACCCTCCCCTTAGCCTCCATTTATACTCAATCAGAATGGAGATAGAGAGGCTGGCCTTGCATATGGCCAGCTATCTTGTGTGCTGGTTTCACATGGCCAGCTCATGCAGCACATGGAGGATCACCCCTCACATGGGGTGATGATTTCACAAATCACCCCCTCAACCCATGTGAGGTGATCCACAACACACATTGCTGCTAATCTTGTCACGCCCAAATTCAACATAGTTTGCATCTCCTCACTGAGACGCTGCATCCCTTGAAAGCTAGAGATAATACACCAGAGATACAGGAGGAGGAGGGAATCCTACATCCTCAACTCAACTCACACCACTCTCTGATTTGGAGAGAGCCTCTGCTCCTATCTCCCACAGATCTCTTCCACGCTTCTGTCTCAGATGTCTATACCTGCTATGCTTGAACTTGCGCAACCAAGATATCCGACACCCCCTGATTGGATGTCCTGCACCCCCTGCTGGGATGCCTTTGACTGTCATGCATTACCGCACAACTCCTTGCATGATGAACACGGGAGCAACTAGAAAACTTCAGAGTTTGACACATCAACATCCTCAATTTTCCTTGCTCGGAGCTTATTTCTGAACTTTCAGCCTTTGCCCTCTGCACTTCTGAACAACCTCCTGGCGTTTCCACATACGCTTGTTGTTTGTGCTGCAATCCCTGATGTTCGGTTCTGTCTTACTTGTACGTCCGTACTGATGTTTGACAGTTAGCCCTTCTGCCAAGAAAACTTTCACCGGTCTGTACAAGTTACCACTATGCAACTCCGTGCATAGTGCTCGCACCCATGGCTTCTGGTCTCCCTGCGTCAAGCTTGCTTGAGAGATCTGCATCAACTCTATCATCTGCTGCCATGGAACTCAAGAAACCACCATAGAGAAAAAAGACTTGCCACTCCTTGACGCGTACTCTTGCGTTTTACCTGTCTCAATTTCTCTGTCTGGAAGTTCCTGTGAACTTTCAACAACCCGTTGCTGCATACTCCTCTTGCGCCTCTGTACGATACTCTACCGTACCCTTGCACTGCTGCACGTCTGCATTTGTGCTTCTGCGCTTAGTATGCTCCTCTGCAACTATTGTTCTACACGTCCACGTACCACCAGTACTTACTCGTATACAGTAGCTCCAACAGCCACAACATTTCCCTGAGCCTGAACTGGTTGCCAAATCATCTATCCGTCGATGAGTGGTCTTCTCTTTTGATTGAACCAGATCCTCCAACGAACTCCGGAGATAATCATCTTTGTAATCCTCTGATCACCCCTGACCAATCCTGATCTCCCTTGATTTGCCATTTGATCAAGCCTGATCTCCTCTGGTCTTCAATGATCTATCTCAATCTGTATCTGGTTGTCCAATCTGGTCAGAATCTGCCCATTCTAACCTCTTCAGTGAATCCGCAGCGTTTCACAATATCCAGCAACCTTCCTTCGAGTATTGAAGATGACAAACACCCATGTTTTGACAATCTTTCCAAACCGTTCAGAATTTCACTATTCTAACCTCGCGGTTGCGTCCGGAGCGGTCCGTTTAGCTAGAACCAATCTTTGCTGCATTTTCGGGGACCTCACTGAAAACTATCCCTGAAAGCTGGGCCACATTGCAATTTTCAGAAGTTCAGGGAATATTCCGTGTACCAACAGAATATTCCGTCCACTGCCCCTAATGCCATTCGTCTCTTTAATCTGCCTTCTTTTTACAGAAACTCCGTCTCCAGAATCTGACCGTACGGATGTGTCCGGAATACTCCAAATAGTCGGAAATCACTATTGGATCACCAAAAACGGACTCCAAATGGCGTAGATCTAGGCAAAACATTTTGTACGCCTCAGATCTGCGGCTGCACCGTAGCCGCGAAGCACTGGATCCTTCTTCCTGCGGCTACAACCTTGCCGCGTAGCACTGGATTCCTCCTCTGGATGCTGACGTGGCAGCTGACTGTGCTGCCACATAGCAACCACTTGCTGACGTGGCGATGACAGACTGTCACGTGGCGCTGACGTGGATTGCCACATGTCGCTGACCTGTCTGCCACGTGGCAGTATGGCTGGCATGCTTATGCTGATGTGTCTGATGACGCGGCTGCTGACGGGGCGCCCGTGGCCTGCCCGTGCCTTACACGCGCCTTTCCCCACTTACCTTCTTCCTTCAGCTGCGCGTGGGGCGCGTGCGTGAGACTGGGCCGACGCGCCGACTGTCTTCACGGCGCGTGGGGGCGCGTGCCGAGACTGGGATTCACGCGCCAAATTCCAGAGGCACGTGAGGGCGCGTCCGGTCTCCGTTGGGTGTATGCTTTATATTTCTGGACTCCTCTCGTCGAGCCCTTGCTCCTGGTATGCTCAAAATATGATTTCGAGCAATACGATTTCTGGGCAGTTTCAAACATCGCACTGTTTTTGTTTCGAAACGCCGCCGACGAGGCTCTGATACCACTTGTTGGGATCTGGGATCCCGCCCAAGACCTTATAGAAATTATTCCATGCAGAAAAACACACCCACACTCAAGGAGACACAATATTTAACGTGGTTCGGCCTCAATGCCTACGTCCACGGGAGAGTAGCCGGTTATCACTATAACAATGGAGATATTACAGAAAGATTGCAATAGAGAAGGAGCTCACACTCTCCTCACTTACCCACTCACCCGTCTCCCTCGCTCACACCGAGGGAGACGATCTCTCCGCCTCACATATCTCACTCTCTGTGGCTTGCTCTGCTCACTCTCACTCACAAACCCTCCCCTTAGCCTCCATTTATACTCAATCAGAATGGAGATGGAAAGGCTGGCCTTGCATATGGCCAGCTATCTTGTGTGCTGGCTTCACATGGCCAGCTCATGCAGCACATGGAGGATCACCCCTCACATGGGGTGATGATTTCACAGTTGCTGATGCTATCTCATTTAGATCTCCTTCTTCATCACTCGAAATAAGTACTTCCATCATATGGCATCTGGATATCTTAAGTGTCTGCAGTTGCCTCACATCTCTGGCTATGGAAACTGAGAACATGCTTTTCAGTTTATCACATCTCTTCACTTCTACAAATGTCAGGTTACAAAGCCGTACAAGTTGAGTGGGACCCTTCCACAAATGTGTCGATGCAGGCAAGTCCAATAGTTGCATCTCTTTCAAAGCACTGAAGGCCTCCTCTCATAGTTGAACCACATCTCCATTTGTTGTTTCGATGAGATATTCCAGATCCTCACACTTACCCAACCACAATGCAGTTAATTGTTTGAAACCATCTTTGTCTAAATCATAGCCAACATTCTTCAAACCTACTACTTGTGTTGAGTGCAATTGTTTAGTGATCTTGAAAACAATCTTGAACCCACTCTCCATAAGATCGTTCCCGTGAATAATCTTGAGAGTCACCTGGTTTTGAAATTGATAGTCACTAGAATAGTAGGTAGGGAGAGTAGAGCCAAGGATTGTAACGAATGTTTGTAGATGTGTAAGCACCAAGTCCCTTGGCCAGTATTCGAAACTTGTCAGCTCAACATCCAAAGTAGTAAAATTAGTCAAGAACCCCAGCTCAGTGAAAATTGCTTTAGTTTCTTCTATACTGTTTTCATCATTAAAGCTAGATCCAAGATACAACTCTTCTAGCTTTGATAACCTTGACAAAACCCCTAGACAAATCCTTTTCATGCCACATCGCAACAAATCCGGTAGCTTCAAGAGACTAAGCCGACCTATGTCTTTTGGCAACTCCTTGATTCTAGTGCCACTGAAACTTAAAATTTTTAGATTCTCTAATGCTCCTATCACTGATACATCATTGATTTGTCTGCATCTGTATAGTGACAAGCTTCGAAGGTTGGTCAACCATTGGAGTGATGTCGGCAATGATCGTTCTATGTACGCATTCAACATGTTTAGAGCTTTGAGTTTCTTCATCCCTCTGTAGAAACTATATGGGAGTTTTGGCAGTTTTGATGCATAATTGTCCTCTAGCTGTAAAAGATGGAGTTCTGGGAATTCTAGATTATCAGGCAACCAACTCATACCTGTGCATCTCATTGAAATTACAGCGTAATTTTTGTGTCGTTCTTTCTCTGGCCATTCTTTCAATGCTTTGTCACATCTTACCATAAACGAATGCTCCTCCCTGGATGCAATTGATATAGCAACATCACGTATTACATCATGCATTTTAACATAACTTTTTACTTCACTATCCATCAAGAGATAGCCTTTTTTTAAGTCATCAATAAAGGCATGCACTCTGTCTCTTGCTTCGCCAACACTATCAACAGCTTCAAACCACTCAATCCCAACCCCATATCTAACAAGATCTTCAATTGGAATATTAAAATCTTCCGGATATAAGGAACAGAGCAAAAAGCATTTCTTAGCTTCTGTACTTTCTATGTAGTTGTAGCTCATCTCCAAAGATTTAAACACCTTTTCTTCTACTCCCTTAAAGTTTTTGACAAGGGACCTGCTTAATTGTTGAAGAGCAGAATCCCATGAATGCCTATCTTTATCTTTGAGTGCCCTCGCAACTGTAACAATAGCAACCGGCAAGCCTCCACATTCAGTTGCAACTGCCTTCTGTGTGAAATACAAATCAGTACTTGTGTGGCTTGTGTCATTGAAAATTCCAGCCATATCCTTGAAGAGCTTCCACGCTTCATTTGTAGATAAGGCTGCAATTGTAAATTTCGTTTGAGCTCCCATATCATCACACACATAATCAAATCTTGAAGTGAGTAAAATTTTGCAATTCTTGTGACCATCTCCAAATGGAATTCCTATGCCATTTAGTTCGAGTATGTTCCAAACATCCTCCAATATGACCAAGAATTTCTTGGGACGCCTCAGTCCTTGATTCAGTCGATTTGCTCTTCCACGTTCAGTCTCCCCCTTAAATTCCAAACCCAATCCATGCAATTTGACCTTGAATCTTACTTTCATCAGGACTTTGGGACACTACAGCCATCACAACCTCATCAAACAAATTCTCTTCTGTCGCTCTTTTAGCAACTTGTTTCACCATTGTTGTCTTACCAACACCCCCAATCCCACATATCCCAATCACGTGGAATCTATCATCCTTCAGCGCCTCCATGACATCGTTCATGATCAATCTTAAAGATTTAAAATCCTTAATACCTTCAGTGGATGTGGATTCTATCCCTGGTGGAGGCTCATTGTAGGCCACTTCTGTCAGTTTCCTCTCCTTGTGTAACTTAGCCAGCTCTATTGTCTTCTTGGTTGCTTTCTTACCGAGTAACGTAACTTCAGGTTTGGACAACGCCCAAAGAAACAACCTTTGTTTGCTTCAGTTTCACCTTCTAGAATTCTCCTGGCATCTTCGCTGCATTTATCAGCCCTTGCCTGCCAACCCTTAACATCAGGCCCAATAACTTTCACATTTCTTTCTGCTTCGTTAACTGATAGCTGCACTGCACCTCTTTTCTCACCCAACTTGTCGGCTTCTTCTTTGAGATTCTTGATCTTACTGTTATAGCAAAATACATAGCCAAGTTGACAGTTAAATGGAGCCATTAGAAAGTTTCCGATCTTGGCTACAATGGGAGCAACAACACCAACAACGCCAACAACAGTGATAGCCATTTCTCACTTCTATTTCAGTTACATAACTCTCTCTCTCTCTCTCTGTTTTTTTTTTTTTTTTTTTTTTTTGGGTGCAGAGACAGTGTAATGTGTAAAACCAGAAGAAAACAAGGAACTTCTGTATTGTAATAGAACTAGAAACGACAGAAGCGAGCTTGGTAAAAATGAAGACAGAATGGGGAGAATAATACTGATTTGGTAATTGTTCAACACATAGCTAAAATAGAGTTGAAAAGGAGGAGCTAACACATCTCTCTAAAACCAAAAGGGGATACAGGGTTTTTTTTTTTTTTTTTTCTCCCCCGGTAAGCAACAGTTGAATCAAAATTTTGTAGAGGATATGAATATAGGAAAGAAACACTTAGCAAAATCAAAAGAGAATACAAAGGTTTTTTTTTTTTTTTTTTTTTTTTGAACAGGAAAAAATAAAGTTTGGAAAAGATTTTGTTCTTCTCTTATTTTACTACAACAGAAATAGAAATGAATACAGAATGCAAAAAATACTGATTTGGTAACTGTTCAACACACAGCTGAAATAGAGTTGGAGAGGAGGAGAAAACACAGCTTTCTAAAACAAAAAGAAGATATGAGTTTTTTTTTTTTTTTTTTTCCTGGTAAGCAAACAGTTGAAATAAAAAATTGGGCAAATTCCATATACCCCTCGAAGTTTAGCAAAATTACAGATATCCCTGAGGTTTGAGAAATTACAGATACCCCCTAAAGGTACTATTTGCATAACAAATTAGGGGGCAAATTATTATGAAAATATAAACTTCAGGACAATTTGTTATGAAAATGTAAACCTTGGGTATTTGTAATTTCTAAAATCTCAGGGGTATCTGTAATTTAACTAAATCTCGAGAGAGGTATATGTAATTTACCCTAAAAAATTTTAGAGGGTGAGTGATAGGAAAGAAACACAATGCAAAATCAAAAGGTAATGGTTGAACACAAAAAGTAATGGTTGAACACAAAAAGAGCTTTTGTACTACAACAGGAATAAAAATGAAAACAGAATGCAGAGAATACTGATTAAGTAACTGCTCAAGACAGAGTGAACAAAATAGAGTTGCAGAGGAGAAGATTGCAAAGCTTTCTAAAATCAAAAGAGAATACAGGGATTTTTTTTTTTTTTCCTGGGAAGCTGTTAACAGTGAGCAATAATAAAACTGAAGTGGAAGCGGAAGTGAAAGAAGAAAACCCTTGGAAATTTTCCAGAGTCTTGTACAGATTACAAATGCACAGCTTTAACAACCCGTCGCAATGAAGAGCAAAGCAATGAGGGTTTGAATGAGGCTTGAAATGTTAAAGCTAGGGAAACATCATGGTAAAATGAAAAATGATATAACTTTAATTTTTTGAGTCGTAATTAAAAAATAACATAACTAAAAATAACATTAGACACAATTGAAAAATTTACAAGTCATGACTAAAATAATTATTAAAACATGAAGTATAAACTTACTAAAACATTCATATAAAAACATAGAAGAAGATTCCCTCCAATTCATATTGGGCCGGTGGGATTTACTATGGAACCATTTTAATAATATAAGTCATTTATTTTATCGGGTATTTAGTGTATTTTATTTGCAAAAATATTAGATTCATTCGATAATTATAACATATTTAATTTATAGCATTTCTTATTAAAAAAAATAGATAATTTATTTTTAAAAACACAATTGTTATATAGTTTTGGATAAATTGCACCGACACCCTTTAAGATTTCTGTTTAATACAGATTCTCTCCTCACGTTTCAAAAATTGCATTCCCTTCTTAAGATTTGTAATCTCATTATAAATTATCCCCGAGATTGTTAATGTCATGCTTTAAAATTTTCTAAATGACAATTTTATCTTTTTTCTTAGCATTTCTTCTCCCTATCATAATGATTACATTCTACAACTTTTCATCATTAAATTCTACTTGAACATATTTTTATTAAGTGATGATATTCAAATATAAATTTTATATAAAATTTTCAAACACAATGATATAGCTTAATAGTGACATTTCACTTTAAAACAAAATACTCGTAAACATGATTTATATTTGCAACATCACTATCACAATATTTTTATGATATTTTTTATATATAAATAGAATTTTTCAATTTTATTTTTACCATTATTTTTCTTTTTCGTCTATTCACCCACATTTATTACAGTATTATTAAATTTTTTTATTTTTATATTTTTTTTATTTGATGAATTTAAAAAAAAATTCACAAAATATTATACTTCTTAAGTATATCTAGATTAGGTATATTTAAAAAATAAAAAAAATTAAAAAAATTGATTAAAATATTTCAAAAAATAGTAAAAATGTAAAATAAAGAAATTCAATTTTTTGTATGAGTTAAACCAAAGAAAATTATTGTTATTTATTTTGAAATGACATGAACAAAATATCAGTATTATTTTATATATAGAAAGTCTAAGGCGCAAATATGTTATTTTAATATAACAAGGGGGATAAGTGTAACTTTTCAAACGTGATAGGGGATTTGTATTAAACAGAAACCTTAACGTTGTGTTTGGTTGGGAGATTTGGAAAGGAATTTGAAAAGGAAAAGGGAAAAAATGTGTGAAACTAAGTGAAATACAGGTATATTTTATTTACAATTCACTTACCTTTTCCATTTCCCTTTCCAAATCTCTTCTCAAATCCCCCAACCAAACAGAGCATAAGGGGTGTCAGTGTAATTTATCCTATATTGTTTTGGTAACAAACGTGATAAATTGAATAGGTTACGATTATCAGATCGACCTAATTTTTTTTTTTGTGGATAAAGTATACAAAGTGCTTGACAAAATACATAATTCAAATCATCAAAACGGAATTTATGATGGACTCCACATGGACAAAAAGCGCCATTTAATCCAAATTATGGATTAGAAAAAATCCTCCTCCTATAAAAATAATGTAGTAGTGTGGGGTGAGAATTTTTATTGATAGCAACTACTGAATTAAGGGTGAGCGTCATGTCGTATTGGGTCATATTTGGGTTGTGTCATCTTGGGTTCATGTTAGAATTAACTCAACACTAACTCGATCCATTTATTATTTTGCATTAGCGTGTTGTGTCATTTTCGGTCTGTGTCAGGTTCACGTTGTGTTAGCGCTATGTCAAAAAATTTCACTGTTTGCTAAAAATATCAAATATATGAAAAAAAATTAAAAAATTCTCCACAAGTTAAATTTAATGAAACTAATCTCTATTAAATGAATTCTTTATAAAAATATTTGATTTCAACTTAATTTTATTTCTTAATTTATAAAAAATATATTTTATTATTATATTTTTTACTAGATTATCTCAAATAATAGACAAAAAAATATATTAGTTCAATTAAAAGAAAAAACAAACCTTATATTAAACTTAAAATCATATTTTATATAATTTTTAATAAATTGAATGTAATTATGTAAGAAATTAAAAAATATCATGATAATCTTTAGTGAAAATAGTATTAAAATATATATAACTAATTTTTCAATACACAAGTTATTTGTATCAATTTCGTATTATACAGATTTGACACGACCCTGACCTGTTTAATATTCGTGTTATCCGGTCTTATCATATACGTGTTCCTGTCAAGAAATGGTCAACTCTAACCCATTAATTTCGTGTACGGTTCAAATAATGTCGTAAATTTTCACCCTCATACCACATAGATAATGACATATGGTATTTAAATATTATTTAATAAGAGTAATTTTCTTTTTATAAATACACATTAAACCACATCATTCTATATATAAATTTTTTTTTGATGATCATTGTACGGGAAAGAAATAAACCTTTTCGTATAATCCTGTTGATCAAGTCTGTGCTCCTCTGTACGTCGTCGCTTTATCACCTGAAAATACAAACGTGAGCTAGCCGGCAGGTGTGTGCCGGAAACCTCTCCGATGCCTAAGTCAGCAAGCTTGACAAATAGACAAAAGCTCTGTGTATTCAGAAAGCAAAGTTGTGTGTTACCTCTCCAAAGGTGATGTTTATGAGCTTTTATAGGTTTCGTGTGGTACAATCCTAGTAGGACTTCTACTTCTCCATGCAGAGTCCTCCTAGGATTCATACTCCTGAAAGATAATACTTATCCTTCAACACCCCCTCACTGCTTAAACCAAGTGAGATGGTTTTTACAATGGCCGAACTCCAACATGACCGAAGTAAACATGACTATGCATAACCGCAGAATAAGCCGAACTAGCTCTTCCTTTTACTGCTCTTACGTCGGCTTCTCATGCACAACCCATGGCGTGGTTAGACCGAACTAACATGTCATGACCGGTGTAACTCCAAGACCGGTCTAACTCCAAAGTACCGTTAGACCGATCTAACTTCGATCTACTGTTGGACCGGACTAGCTTCACGGCCTTAGGACCGGACTAACTTCAAAATATCCACATGACCGGAGTAACTTTCATGGCCATTTTACTCGGCCCTTTGTACTGCGGCTCATAACGGCCCATTACCCAGCTCGGCCCAATTTTCACATAAATCACCCTCTCAATTGCCCCTTAATTCCATCTGCCTAGCATGTTTGGGATTATCTGTCAACCAACCGAGCTATAAACTCTCAGCCTTTCCAACCGAGGTATAGATTTTTAGCCTATCCAACCGGGCTACTTTCATACCGAGCTCTAGCTGTCCGGTAGTAATGCCTCTTCAATCACAGAGACTGAAACGCTTCCCATTCTAATGGCACATGGCATGCTCTGATTGACTGAGGACGGCTGTCACGTCGTCTTCGTACTTTGTAAAATTTGAATAGTCCCGTCTTTTTTCGTTTTACCTAAAACGAGCCTCTTCATTTTGACTCACTTTGCAACTTTTCCCTCTCTGAGCCTCCATTGCTTCCTCAACTTCTGAGCTCGTGTTCTCCATAGCTGTCATTCTCTCTCCAGCTCTTGCCTCTTCATCAGGTAAGCACTGTACATCTACTTTGTTTTCGTATTTTGTTTTCTGTGTTTTTACAAAACATAT